TATATATATATATATATATATATATATATATATATACACTATAATTAATCTATAGCAATGAGAATCCTTAATATTGTGAAGGAAAAGTAAAAGCACCTTAAAGCAGGAGGCCCTGTAGAGCAGCTGCACCACGTGTCCTATGCTTGTTTTTGAGGCCTGAGGAAAACGTGGTTCGAGTCTCTGGACCACAAACAGGACCAGAACCTTCCGTGAGAGGGCCGAACCATCTTCCAGAGCGAGTAGGACCAGCTTCAGTGCTTCTTCCTGCATAGCTGTAGGGTGAAAAACAATTTTTGTTAGTGCCCACAAATGATTTTATCAGCCCGCTATCATGTTATGGTGGAAAAATCTTACCAGGGCCGAGAAACTGGCAGCCTCTTGCTCTGACGGCGGCCCACAGGTTGGAGGAGAGCTGCTGGGGGTTCTGGTGCTGGAGGATGAGCTCAGTGACAGTACGTTCACCCAGAGAGCGGGCCGCCCGCATGGCCCGGATGCGGCCCTCCTCCTCCACCAGCTGGCAGTGAACCAGAGTCACCAGCTTCCTCTGCATGGGTCTGCTGAGAACGCTCTGAGCGGCGCCATTCAGCCCTGCACCTGCACGGATAAACACCAATAAAACACAAACGTTAACTGAGCCTTTTCATGGATTGCTGATTATCATGAAGGATGACGAATCACTTAAAAACAATAGAGCATATGCTAAAGACAATAAACAAGGTCAAACTGTTAGGAATCTACACAATAAAAAAAAAAGAATAAATAAAAATTAAACCGAGTAAATTAAATAAAATATTATAAAACAAATAAAAAATATATTTGAAAATGTTAAAAATAATATATTTAAAGAATTTTTTTTTACTTTTAACTGCAGTCCAATGATATCTTGATGCATTTGATGATGACTGAATTTTTATGATTAATCACTGAAAAACCATAAAAAAATATGCTAAGGACGATAAACGTGGTGAATTGTTTGGTATTCAAACAATTGAAGAAGAAAAAAAAAAAAGAATAAATAAAAGTAAAAAAAATATATAAATATATTACAAAATAAAACTATATGCAACCACAATGCAATTATTAGATCCATTTTATGATGTATGAATGTTTATGATGAATGTCAAAAAGCATATATTAAGGATGATAAACATGGTGAATTGTTAGGTTCAAACAATTAAAAAACTAAAAATAATAATAAAATAGTCCACAAAGCATATACTAAGAATGATAAACATGGCAAATTGTTAAGTGTCTAAACAATAATAAAATAAATGACCTCAAAACAAATTAGAAATAAATTATATAAAAAATATTGAAAGTTTTTGTTCCTTTTTGCAGCGCAATCGCAATCCAATTGTGATATTTTGATGCATTTTTTGACGTTTAAGATAAATCACAAAAAAAGCATATGCTAACTTATTGTGAATAAATGAATAAAAAGGCTCATGTAAAATGGGAGGGACCTCTGGTGTTGCTCAGGGGTTTGAGATAGAGGGCCAGGTCCTCCACACATGTGCGAGACTCCTCATAGTGCTTGACGTCCTCTGCAGCTGTCAGTAAGGTGACGGGGGGAGCTTTGGGTACCTGCAGGAGAAAACACAACATTTGTCTGTTACCATACCAAAGATAGTTCCCATTTCCAGGGCTTTAATGGCATTCTTCACATAACAGGTCATCATGTGATGGGGCTGTCAGCATTCCTCTACGTGTAGAACATGCTCACACCCACAGACTCTCATAACAACATGTGATTTATCATCAAAGGGCCCCGTCATTTGGGCTGCCATGACTGATCCACACTCATATACATAACTGCATTTTTGAGAACAGAAATAGAAACAACTATTTTAAATTGTAATAATAGCTCACAATAATACAGTATTACAAAATAATAATACTGTATTTTTCTATCAAAGTAATGCAGCCTTGGTGAGCATAAGAGATTTCTTAATTTTTTTTTAAAAAACCCAAACTTTGGAACAGTATGATTTCTGATCAAATCCTAGGACGCCATGCTTATATATATAATAAAAAAAACTATGCTACTTTTTATTGAGTTGACATTTTTAGAGATAAATTAAAACTTTTGTTGAAAATGGTAAAATGTTTGTTTTTAAGGCTTAGTAAACAAATATTGCACTGGGCAGAACGACATACAATTCTAAATATTAAAATATGAAGAAATTATGTAAAATATTTCTCATTTTGGTGCACTTTGCCAAGTCTACTTTACATTTACACTGTATTTTTTGGAACCCATCCCAACTGAATAATACATTAGTAAGAAATATTTGGCTATTATTTTCCAATAGTAATACATTTTTGTACAAATTTCATTTTTTGTTTTCATTTTAAAGATATTCACTTATGCATGAATAAAAGAAATGTGATTTTCTGCATGTAGATGACATTTTTTAAACAAGCAGCTCATCTTTACCTCATTTGCTTTATATGAAAACCTGCATGGACCCTGCAAATTTTCAGCAATTTCGCAACCGTGGCATTTTTGTATTTGTTTAATTCCCTTATTTAAACACAGCGCCCAATGAAGCGCACTATGACTGCGTTCATCTGAAATAATCCTAACTAGACGATTATGTAATAGTTGCGACAGTCATCATACATATCCCCGCATGTGCAGAATGAAGAAGTATTTTTACAGACAACACTGGGAATGACTGGCAGAAGTTAATACAACTTCCTGGTTCTCTATTGGCTGTGAGTGAGGAAGCAGTGTGTTTTGCAGCCTCCTGTCATGCAATCACACGCTTCTGTATGTCACATCAGGCCTGAAATCTAACCAGACCGGAACGATCGCAAGCTGATCTTCAGAAACCTGACGCCCTGAGCTCCACCTCTCCATGCTGTACTTGACATGTTCTGCTCGTCCTCTTGATTCAGAAACAAGTGGATGCAGTAAACACGGTAATAAACACGCTCCACCTAAAGTACAACTGCAGTGTTGTCTTCACAATCGCTGCGGTCTGGGCTTTTTGGCTGTTTGCCTCACGTTCCAATTGCTATCAAGGTCATTTGAAAAGGAAAAAAGGGCATTGTTTGAGTGACAAGGAACCACTGTAGTTTTACTTCCTCATCCTCACTTAGATTGAGGCTAGGGTGGGGGCCACGACTTCATCCGTATAAGGGAAACAAAGTCAATAAAAATAAACATGTTTGGTACAGAATTAACCAATGTGCACTGGGTCGTCATGTAGCGCAAATAAAGTGCTTTTGCTTTCGCCTAGAAACACACAGCGTCTCCCTGACATAGCTGCTTCAATACTAACTGCGGTTTCTGAAACCACGCCTTCTTTCTTTGCGTGCACATTTGGGCGGCATTATGCAAATATTTCCACATAGTAAGGTAGATATGTGGGGGCGTGTTAGAACGAGCCGTTTTAGGGGGGCGTGGCAGTCTTAACTTTGATAAATAATATCTCTTTGGTTTTGAGACTTTAGTCTTTGCAACTTCAGGGATCTTATCTATGCACAATCAGCTTGTAACACTCCAAAGAGAAAGGAAAACTTGAAATCGCATCATATGACCCCTTTAAGGTGTGCTCACGTTTACTGTTGGCAAAATCCAGCATTTTCAAAAGTTTAGGAGTTTTGCGTGAGATTCTGCGCAGATTTTGCTCATGTTGGTCACATGAATTCGCCGCACTGATCTAAAGAAGGCTGCTTGGTTTGAAAGTTACATGTGTGCGAGCTGTGCTTCATTCATGGTTGCACTACTGACAATGAACTTTTTTGAATATTTTCGCAAATGTGACTGACTGCACCTTTAAGACAAATTTTATCATTCAGCCCCAGGTCAATTATGCAGCGCTTGTAAATTGTGTCTCGGTCCATTACGAAAAATATTCCAAATGCATTTTTTTTTTACCATACCTAATTTGAGACTAATTTATGCAACACAAGCAGATCCATTTTCATTATTGTTAATGAAAACTATTTTACAACTAAAATAGCATTAAAGGGATAGTTGAAAATGAAAATACTGTCATTATTTACTCACCCTCATGCCATTTCAAACCCCTTCGTTGTGCGCAAAGAAAACAAAAAATAACGACTTTATTCAACAATTACTTCTCTTCCGTGTCAGTCTTTGTTCATGTGCATTCCTCTGCTTGCAAACAAGGCACGGCGCATCTGGCTTCTACGTCAGAACCGCATGGTGCTGTCGTGAACGCGTGTCGAAGACTGACACGGAAGAGAAGAAATTGTTGAATAAAGTCGTTATTTTTGTTTTCTTTGCACACAAAAAGTATTCTCGTAGTCGTTCATAATATGTTCGTCACATTACAAGATTTATGTATAACGAGTGGTTCCTTGCATTATTACAAGGAAACGTCTTGTGAATACATTACTGAGCTGCTGCTATGGAGCAATATATTTTAACGGGCATAATTATGTGAGAAAATAACTAAAGGGAATATAGGGCCCTATGAAATACGTTTGATTTTTCCCCAAATTCAATTTGATTTTTCTGGACCCCTTTTTAATGGTTAAATTAATTTTTATTAAATCACAACGCATGTCTAATTAAAATCATGAAACCTACACAATTTCACATCAATTTATTAAACGTTTAACAAAAACTAATAAATGTTTATTTTTTTCTCACCATATGTTTTATTGTTACCAAATTCTGTGTTTTAGCATCTTTAATCATTTGAATGCATAAAAAAAAAAACTTAATTTATTCCAATTTATTGTTAAAATAGCCTTATGAAATGTTTTTCCCTCAAACTCAAATTCCTCAGAAATTTTTCTGGTAATCAAATGAAGGCATAAAACAATTTCATTTATCTTGTAATTATTGAAAATTAAACAAGCTTTATTTTTGGCAAACAAAGGGGATTTACTATAAACATTAAAATTATGAAGAAATGTTGTGTGATTATTCCTTAAAAAATAAAGTTTTAATAATTTTTGTAGTAGTAGTAGTATGTACATTCTACTGAACAATAGTAATATATTTCTGGCACAATGTCTTCAAGTTGAACCAAACTTTTATTTTGACGGGTTGCCGTGAATATCTTTACATTTCTGTGTTCTGCGATATGACATTTGTTTTACACAAATCAAAGGGTAGAATGCTCATGGAGATGTTGCTCATGTATTTATGTACTCATTTCGTCACTACGATTCCGTCCGCGTTTTCCGCATCGCGGAAATCATAGGGCCCTAGGAATATCTGTTTGCAAAATGAAGCCAGCTAACATGATTTATATTTTTTGTTTTAGGGTTGTTTTAGGGATTTTCACGGTATGATAATAGTCTCCGAAAATATCACGGTTATCACAGTATATATTAAACAATAACTCTTATCAGTAACAATGACTCTTAAAAGAACAAGAACAAGTTATTTGAGTGAACAAATCCTTTATTACAACAAACTTGAAACCATTTTAATGAAAGTATTGACGTCTCCCTTCTGAAAAAATTAATAAATTAAAAACAACAATAAAAAAAATAAAGCTGTACACCTTATGTATATCTTTATCACACTTTAACATTTTAATTAATGTTTTAAAATGTTATCAAATGAAAATTTACAACTTTTATTTTTGGCAAAGTTAAAACACGGACAAACATGAATGTTTAAATAAATCATTTTATCATAAAGAATATTATTATTGTTGTTATAACATTGAAGTACACTGTACAATGCTAATATATTTGTGTCATAATTTCAAATTAAATCGAACTTTTATTTTGACGGGTTGTAGCGGACCTTTGAGTTTCAGAGTGTATTTGACAATGGTTTTTCTCAAATAAAACTAGGAAATGTTTATTTACGTTTTCTCTCAGAGCAGCTCTGCTAATGTTCATGTTTATGTATCTTAGACGCTGAAAACTTCAGTACGCAGTAGATAAAACGGCGCCACTCAGAGACATGCAGAAACAAGCTGATTATTTATATAGCAGTCTCTTTGCGCTTTAATATTCACAGACACATATCAGTACTACTTTTGACTTATCCATCCATCCGATTGCGCGTTTTATGTGACATCCTCATTATACTGTAAATTTCATGTTCACAACTGCACCGGGATTCCTCTCTGCTTCACGGAAATCATACGGCATAACTTATAACTTATTAACGCAACACACCTTCATCTGCACGGAGGGATGGTGTCTGCGAATATGAGCGAAGATGTTGGATGTATTGCCTGCTTTTGCAGCCACTTTATGTTCACATTTTTTGCCAATTGGATCCGTCCTCAAGGACAACCCCGCGTTCGTTTTTACATAGTTGCATATGCGCTGGTGAGATTTTTTTTTTTTAAACAGTAGATATGCAAATGTTTACGGTATGATAACTGCGCACGTTCAAACTGTGATAAACTGTCATACCGGTATATCATTACAACCCTAGTTTAAAATTACAAATGCTTTAAAAATATAGGTATCGGTATGTACCAAAAATAAAATATCGGTATCATGACTCGTTCTAGAAAAAAGTGATATCGGTGAATCCCTACCGCTAATACTTCAAGCAAAATCGAAAAAAAATAACTGATGTGATATCATTTTGAACACAAAATCAAGACAAAATAAAGTTCATTTGGAGTTTGTTTTAGGGAACTTTCGAGAACTTTTGTTGAATTTTGTGCTTGATTAGTGACTAATCTTCATATATCTAGCTACTCTATTGACAACAGACCTTATTTGCCGCAAAATTTTGCAAATGTGACAACACATTTAGACTCACCTGTCCGCTGACGAGCTGCAACAGCGCTGTGTTGACAGGCAGCTGCTCGATGTCCGTGCTGATGGTGGTCTGGTCAAACGGGCAGGCCTTGCGGTGCAGTTTGTTCAGGCACATTTTGCACACAGTGTGGCCGCAGCCCAGGCTGATGGGCTTGCGGTGGCTCTCCTCGAAGGTTTGTGTGCAGATGGGACACAACAGAAACTCGGTCCATTGTGGGGCTTGCACGGGCATTGTAGCGAAGCGCGGTCTGTGATGCACCGGTCCCCAAGATATTTTCTTATTGCTGCATTTGTGTCTCTGTGCGTTTTGTGTAAAACGATATGACCGTAAGTCCTAAAGGTTCCACTGGAACTGATAAAGCTCTTCCAAAGATCACGGTTCTTAAATATTTCCTGACATTGTGGGCGTTCAGCACATAGTGTGAAAAACATAACCTGAAAGACAAAAAACAAAACAAAAATTATCACTCACGTCAAGATTTTTACACTAAATGCCAACATGCCAAATTATCACATTCAGCCTCAGATCAATTAAGTAACACTTGTTAATTGTGTCTTGGCCTATGACTTTATTCAAATGAAACATTAAAAAAATGCATTTCTAATACTGAAGCTAAATTGAACAACAATGTTGCTCTCAGCTATTTTTTAACTACTTTAATAATTATGTTCACAATGTAAAATACTCTCTCATGACTTAGACTTCGGTTTTTTCATACAGAATAACCAAAAAGGTTTAAAATGTGATAAACTGCCTTTCACTAAACATGAAAATGCTGCTATTTAAACTCTCATTAACACATTGGCAGCACAAAAATACAAAATAAATAAAAACTACATAAACTAAAACGAGAATCAATGAAAGAGATGAGTAAAAACAAAAAATAACATAAAAAGACCAAACTACAAATAAAACAGACTAAATTAGGCTAGCCTAATTAAAACTAGCCTAAAACTAAATTTATTATTTAGAATTTGCTCAATCTTTTTATACAAATTGATGTAATGAAACAAAATGTCATAATGACAAATTTATTAATAATACATACAAACATATAAACCGTTTACAAAAATGTGTTCCACTCATTTCACAAATAAGACCCAATAACTGTTACACACAACTTCTGTAATTAATTATATATTTTTTTAATTAAATCCCAAGAAACTTTGATATTCAAAACTTGAAAACATTTTTACAAAAAATATAAGTTTGAAAACTTTAATTTTCCTAAAAATAATAAAAAAATCAAGATGCAATACTTTTTTTTTTTTACTTGGCTACATTTACAGTTTGATATTCTTTAAACAAATCTTTTGTTGAAAAATAGAAACCACATGAACAAACACCAGTGAACAAAAACACATGACTCATTCTTTTTTTCCATTTTCGTCATCTTAGACATTCTTATCACTGACCCGAGTACAGCAGGCTTATTTTGGCTATCACAGATACCAAGCAAGCAGGATCTTTTGGCTAACATTAAACCTTTTGGCTTCAGCCTAACAACGCCTCTCCAGCTCAACAACATGAGCTCTATAAAACATTCAGTCCTGACCGGGAAGTCCAGAACAGCAGCAATAACCTGACTCATCATTTATTACAGCACAGTCTGCGTACCGTACCTTAAAGCTGCCCGAAATAGCCATTATATAACCAAAGCAACACCTCCACAACACACAACCCAGGGGATTTCAAATGATTAATCACGACTAAAGTGCAATTCCTTCGACCGCTCCAGCGGGAAGCATAACAAGGAAGCGTTTAAACTCAAATAAGGTTACGAGTTCTGAGCTCTGACTCATCTGACAAACAAAATCAACGTGTTTTCAGGAGCAGGAAGTAAGGAATTCTGACCTATAGGGAACAGAAACATGAGCCATAACAAAGAGCAGTTTCCATCATGCTTCGCTGACAAAAGGAAGCTGAAAACAAAATCATAGGATACTAGTTGCGAAATCGAACACCTGTTTCCTTTCTGAATGCGTCACAAAATCAAAACTATTTAGATCTTCACTTATTCACTCCATCAGGAATGCAAGTTTAGTTTTTGCAAGGATTTCTGCACAAGTCATGTGCAAGTGTGAGAACTTCAACCATTAAAAAAAAAAAATTATCTTCAGCAGCCACCCATGCAACTAAGGTACTTCCTCTTGTGGCAGCTAACAAAAGCACCGTTTTATATGGGCACACCCACGTTTTCTTTCTATGTCATAAATGGTTTCATCGGTACCAGGATTTCTCAGAACTATAATTAAGT